CCCCAAAACCCCAAAACCCCAAAACCCCAAAACCCCAGTGGATTTTTGTAGAATTGAAGTAGGTACAGTTAAGTTTTCTTTCTCATTGCCATCATTCTCATCTCTGCAGCCATTCCTCTTAAGATCTTACTAGACATCATAGTTGCTTGTTTGGCCTTGGAGGTAAGCTCTTCATTTTCGATAGTATCACCTCCAAGGAGATCACCGATCTTTTCTTCAGAGATTTTTAAGCTTTGGAAGGCAGTCTTCATTTCTTCAAGAGAGTCGTATTTAGCAAACTTGTTTTCTTCAACAAGCTTCTCAAGGGTCTCTACTGCTTGATTGACCCCACTGATTGTCTGCTCTTTTTGGTATTGCTCCATTGAGAGGATCATAGTCTTTTGCATTTCATCTGCTTTCTCGATGATGCAGATTGGAGCAGAAAATTTGTACTCTCCTTCGTAGAGAGACATGCAGTTATCAGAGGATACCATCTCTAAGTCTACGTATCCAGGGAGTCTTTCAAAATATCTCAGCCTACAATGAGAAATAGGTTCGTGCTCTACAGTCTGGATATTCATATGTTTCAAGTCATCCTTATTGTGAGCACACGTCATTGAGATAGGGATCTTACTAACCTTAACTATCATGGTCTGATCTTCAGACTCTTTGTTCTTGATTTGGTAATAGTCATCTCCAAGAGGTATTTTGATCTCTTTAAAAGGAATCTCATCGATACTTTCACCATAGTTATAAAGAACAGTTAAAATTTTGTGGTTTTGGATTAAGATTTTATATCTCAAGATTTGGCCTGCAGAATCTGTATCAAAATTCATGTAATCAGAGATTGATTCTCCTTCCTCAAGATATTCTGTGGCAACTGGAACAGAATCACTCATATCGTTAATGTGGCAATGAATAATGTTGTACACTTTATCGTTAACCTCATTTGTCCAGACTTCGAAAACAGAATTAGAGATGAACCCAGCATTTTGATCGATCTTTCTCTCAATAAATTGGACATTTCCATAGCTGTTGCTGCTAATCGATCCAATGCAGAATTGTGTTTTATTGTAATTTATGTGGTAGTCATTTAATGAAATAAAGGATGGCTCCACCGCCATCGGTAGACATTCACTTTCTCCGAAACTGTTATCTATTTGGTAAAATATCTTAAATTTATGAATATCTTTTTGCATCTCCATTCTTACGCTAGCTTCTTCTTTCAGAGTAAGGAAGTTTATTCTTGAAAATATATCTTCACGATTAAAGGTATCAGTGCCTCCGCCTTGAATGTTGTCCAAGAGTAATTTATTTTGGTCATAAATTCTTCTAGCCCTTATAGTATTATCAGAAGTATTATATTCAATTATCTCAAAAATTGCAGGATTGTTCAGTGTGCTGAGAATTATTCTGTCTTTTACAGCTTTCTTAAGGGCAAGCCCTACTTTTCAAAATTCACTATCTAATTCTTTATACTGGGCTCTGAAGATTACTTTGTCCTTTTCCTTCCCAGATTCCAAGATCTTAGCTTCAAGAAATTCCTTTTTATGAACAAGATCTGCACATTGATTCATTTTGGAAAGTACAAATTCTTTAAGACGCATGTTGTTTTCTTTATCCTCTTCTTTAATATTTTCAGAACTGAGTCTCTTTGCTATTTCTTCAGGAACAAAAGAAGGGTAGTCTAGCAATGAAGGAGAGTCTACATCCTGGCACATAAAAGATTCTATCCTTCCTTCATTCATTTTTTCCAAGGCTAAAAGAGGAACCATGATGTAATTGGTTTTTCTTCCATCAAACTTGACTGATGACTTCTTGCTTTCATCTATATGCTCATCTCCATTGATAAGGAATTGATATCTGTGCTTATATCCTCTTCTAAGAGACACTGTATGCTTGTATCTAAAGGGAACTTCTTCGTCTTTTTCCATTTCGTGAGGAATCCATTCTGTAAAGTTCCCAATGATATCAATTGCAATACTTTCTTCGTCTTTATACTCCTCTGGTAGATCATACTCAATGGTGATATTCATTGATTTCTCATCATTCTCTTGCTTGGGTATATGAGAAGCCTTGAACTCTTCATATTTTTGGGACTTAGGCTGGGCTCCAAACTTCTTAATCTTAAATTCCAGATCTATTATTTTTGCAAATAGCTCTTTCTTATCTGATGCAAGGATTTCATTTTCAATTCTTAAGTCTTCTAATTCCTATAAGAATAACCTTAGAGCATACTTTTTTGTAAAATTCATTGCTTAGGTTGTTTGCTTCTATCTCTGAGAAGATCTCTTCAATTCCTGCCATTGGATATATTAAAATATATTAATATATTGCTCAATTTCTTACTTTGCAAAAGGGGTTTTGGGGTTTTGGGGTTTTGGGGTTTTGGGGTTTTGGGG